CAAGCAAAGCAAAACAAGGAATTCATTCACTGCTTCCCATCGGCAGGCAGGTGTTCAGCCATCTCCAGGAAAGCAGGGCTCCATCACGCCTAACGGTTACTTGGGAAAACAAACGCCATCACTCCAAACGTCCCCCCCCTTCCTCCTTCTTCCCCAGCTTTATATGCTGAGCATGACGTCATACGGTGTGGAATATCCCTTTGGCCAGCTGGGGTCAGCTGTCCCGGCTGTGTCCCCTCCCAACTTCTTGTGCACCCCCAGCCTACTCGCTGGTGGGGTGGGGTGAGGAGCAGAAAAGGCCTTGACTCTGTGTAAGCACTGCTCAGCAATGTTGAAAACATCCCTGTGTTATCAACGCTGTTTCCAGCACAAATCCAAAGCGTCGCCCCATACTAGCTGCTATGAAGAAAATAACTCTACCCCAGCCAAAACCAGCACACACACGTAGAAGGTTTCACCACTTCAAGCTGTTTCAGGTGATTTTTACTCTTGTCATGGCTGCTCAGCGTTCCTCCCTTCCTGTCTCCTAAAGGTGATTTGGGAGATGATGGAATATAAGACTCCAGAACATTATATCCTGTGTGAGAGAAATTGCATCACAAAACTTTGGTATAATACCTGACATTTCTAAGAACTTCTTTAGTTCTCATTTTTGCATGGACAACGTAACTTTTTATTATCAGATCTGCAATTAACAATGAAGTATTGTGGTAATACTGTCTGCTGGCACAGAAGCATCAAATGTTCTGCTTTTATGCTTTTTCCACATAATGATGTAGTTTAAAAAAATCATTCTTGTCAAATCTACTGACATCTGTGGAAAAAAAAACATCTTGTAGCATCCCGGTTGCTTAGAACAGGCATGCGTATTTGTATGTAGTCCTTCACTAGTTAAGATCACAGGAAAAGAAACTTGCATGAGAAGAGCTGTTTTTCTCAAGGCTAGAAATAACTGGTTGCTCTGAAGTGGTGCCATGTAAACAGTTTAGTATTAATAAATAAGAGCTATTGTACTTGCTTCAAATTAATAGTTTCAGTGTGTCTTACAAAAAAACCCCAAAACAACAAACCAGACACAAAGCATCTTATAAAGTAAGTGACCTGCATAGATTTCTTTAGTGTGGTTTTTAAAAAAATTAGTCCTCTAACTATGAAGCCCTTATTTATTAATACACTTTCTATATTCTCTAAATGGGTGCAATCATTGGGCTAGGTGGGACCTCCAGGGGTCTACGGTTCATCTCCGCAGAGCTGCATCGTTCCTCTTACGCATTTGTCTAAAGACTCCATGACCCCGTCAGACAATTTGTTCTAGGAGTTCTTTACCCCTAGAAAGTATTTTCTAGTGTCTAATGCAAGTCTTCCTGACGGTAGAAACAATTATCCACAATGGGCCTGCTGAACATACTTTGGCTCTTGGCTGAAATTTGTAACTCTTACTACTTGTAAATACTGTAAATTTTACATTTTTACATTGAATTAAAAAAATCTCAGAAGACAAATGTGCGTGCTCGCCTTTTTCTTACTGTTAGCTTTTGTACTGAAGACTAAATCTGCTTTTGAAGCTTGCTCAGTTCATGTTACATATGTAGTGCATGCTTGAGCATTATTGAAAATTAATGGAAACCGCTGTAGGAGATATGTATAGCATATATGTGTGTGTGTAATTATATGTAGCCAGTTACTGTATTCTACTTACCAGATGTATTAGCATGTAGAAGAATTAGTTCTAAACAAAGGTCATTTCTCATTTGTTGAGATATCCTTTGGGTGAAATACCACTCCCTCCAGGCAGCGGTGGAAGTCTGACTTTGAGGATGTGATTTATATCCATTTGTTTTGAAAGAGGTCTCTCTCCTGTACAGGTGTGAGGTGGTGCCTTTGCTGTACTCCAGTAGTTGATCTTAGAATCATAGAATCATTAAGGTTGGAAAAGACCTCTAAAATCATCGAGTCCAACCATCGACCCAACACCACCATGCCCATTAAACCATGTCCCTAAGTGCCTCATCTACACGTCTTTTAAATACTTCCAGGGATGGTGACTCAACCACTTCCCTGGGCAGCCTGTTCCAACGTTTAACCACTCTTTCAGTAAAGAAATTTTGGAAATCTTGGAGAGGGATGAGGGCTGACACATAGGAGCTCTTTGATCCACTGATTCTGGCTACATCATCGGCTTTGCAATTTTTTTTTTTGCCCTTTGATGGTATTGATGCAGTCTGCAATAACTTCAGTCCAGTTCTATTGCTTGAGCCTGGGGACTCGCCTTAGGTTCTATTTTAAAATTATGGACAAGGATTAAATGGTCAC